TGAGCCCCGTGGTACATTCTTATTCCGTTCCCGCATCAAGCTTCAATGGCATCGATTTATCACGTGCTTCGTAGGCGAACTACTTGCTCCGGCGCGGTGGGTAGACGCGCGAGAACGCGATCGTAAACGTGCACGCGAGCACACGTATCTACACGCATTTTCTCTCCTTCCTCTGTCTCTTTCCCTCTCTCTTTTTCTGCGTGCGGCGCGTAACGCATGTACATATGTCCCGAGGACACGGCTCTCGAAAGTACCTGAGCATCTTCAGCGGTTACGCTCTCGAGCGCACTTATAACACGTATAAATACCGAGCGTAGCGTCCACGGGCGCGTAACCGCTTTGCTTTATAGGCGGGGTAATGACAAATCAATTTCTCGACGAACGTTTCCTGGCCGAACGGCGGGGCGGCGGCTCGCGCAGCAGCCGCAGCCGCGGTGCGGCAGCTCATCGACGGCAGCCAATATCGCGTCTGTGTCGCGGCACGTCGCTTCGAGGCTCGTTTCAAGATCGCCCACGCCTTCGCCCGACTCGCTGGGTATCGGAACAAATTATGCCCGCTTATATACCGCTCGTACATTCCCAGAAAAGACAGCCTGATGCATGGAACCGGTGCGCGGCTGCCCTCTTTATTCTTTTCGTACCTTCGCGGAAGAGAGCGGCCGCTGGATAGGTATTAGAAATTCAAAGCTGCATCCGCTGCGCGCCGTCCGCACAGTTGCAATCCGTTCTGTCGGATTTATCCCGCACATCTTCATTATAAAATCGAATCGCGTTACATATCATATTGTTACTAATCTTCTCTGTTTTTTCTTAACTGAAATATCATTTTTGAAAAGAATGGAAACCTGAGATAGTTAAAAAATAAGAAAAGTTTCCTTTTTTTTCCTTCAAATGTTGACGATTTTTCTTATCTTGTAAATTATTGAAAGAATCAGTTAACATAGTTACGGGATAAGTAACATTAACAACTGTTCCCCTTAAAAAGTTGTAAAATTTAAGGAAAAATTTATACAATCATCTCCGTGTCAGGTGGTTAATCGTATCGGAATTGTGTCACGACTACCAAATAACACACTTGTAACCGGGATTCTGATAAAGCCGCAAACGTGTTTCTGAGTTACTTAAGTGCCTCGTCGATGCACCACGCGGAGTGGTACAAGTTGCTAACTTGTAACGGCCTTTGTGCCGTTGGTAACAGCGCCGGAATAATTTTTATCGATGCCGCAAGCACTCAGGTATGAATAGCTCATGCTCACATTCAATGCAAATTTCATATTTTCGCCTTGTTCCCGTCCCACGCATTTCAGCTTCTTTTCTGAGTGTCATGTGATTTACTCGATACGGTACCGGGTGCTGTCAGCACTAAAGAGTCCCATGTTAAGCATGGATGTCAAAGAGTTCAACGTGCACCTTATTATTATCGCTGTTTTAATCGCAAACGGGTCTTCGAAAGAGAGGAGTATAAATTTCAAGTTGCGTGATTTTTACGGTCGTGCAATTAACACACTGCTTATTACCTCGCTGCACGGCTCAGCATAATAAATTTCTATTTAGAAAACAGACTTCAGTTTCTGTTACGAAATAATATATATTATTAAATAATTTATCAAGTATAGTACGAGAGATATTTGGTAAGGAATCTATCGATCCAAAGTATCTAATAAATTACTGACCATTTCTTTGATATCTCGCATGTCGAATCGTGGAATTTGTATTATATCGCATTAAGTTACACGCGGTAACATTATAGAATTCTCGTATATAATGTATTACAAATCCGACGAGAATGAACCGCAAGTCGAGTTATCTTCCACGAAATCGCTGTCTTCGATATTCACGACAGAATGTAAAGTCAGTTGAAAAAAGTCAATGTCCAGTTGAGCAGCCCGACGGCTCGTGCTCTTTCGGCCATTAGTCACCAGCGTCGAATGCGATACGTCGTATGGCTGCCTCTTTAAGGCAGCGACTGGTTTTCGTGGACGAAAGCGGTAGCGGCTGACGCAAGAAACCGGCATAACGGCACGCGTCGAGTCACGGTTACATTATTGACCCCCATTCACTCGGACTACCGAATTGTTACACGGACGATTTCTTACACGATCCGGAGTACTTTTGCACCGGTGCGCATACTAAAGCAAAGAATCGCATCGGTCGTAAAGGCGCTGCATCCGTTCCGAAACGCGGAACAGTTATTTGCGTCTTGGCGGATTGTCATTTGACCAGCACACATTTGACATCTACCTGTGTTGCGATCACATTGAGAAGAATACGAAGGACAAATTCGCGAATAAGCGCGAGTGAATGAACGCGTGGCATTGTACAAAAATATTTTCTCATAAACGCGTGTGATCGCATTTATATTATACATTTAAATATAAAATACAGGAAGCAGGAAGCACTAAGCATGCTGTAGAAAAAAAATCTATGTGAATGTGATTTAAATTCACACATGCTTATCTTGCAGTATGCTACTTTGTCTTTCAATATTTTTTATTTCGCAAATGTATTATGACTGTGTTTACAGATGCACTTTCACTGATCTACAAACGCAACGTATGTCTATTTATCCTGCGAAATTATGATTCGCTTTGTGTATGTCCGTTCGACGATGCGCTGAAGAACGAATGCAAATTTCGTCCGCTTTTTTCCCCTTCTTCGGTTGCATACCTCGTTCTAACATTTCTTCGATCGGAAATGGCACCTCGTTGAGGTTCGCGTTGCGAAACGTTCCCTCTGTCAAAAGAATTCGCGTACTCAAGCGCAAACTGAAGTGGAACTATAAACGAGAACGCACTGTTTTTAGCCGGGATTCGGCGGGGTACAGTTCCGCCTGTCTGTTTCGTGTTAAACCCGTCCTCCGATTCGCTTTTCGTGCGATCGTTCCGAATAAAATGTCAGTTACGTGCTCATCGCGGATAAATCGCGCCTAAATGACGTCGAATCGATTTAAATGGAAAACGATAACGCGAGGTTCGACTGAGAATATATCTTATTTATGCGCATCGCGAAATATTCTGCTGGCATCACGAAAAATCATGAAACGCATTGCTTTATGCGGTCGATACTTTCGCGCGGCGTAGTTCTTGTCGTAACGGAATCGCTTGGAAGTTATAATCCATCCAAAGTGCACCGAATTAAATGGGATTGAAAACTCTCGGTATGTGTTTAGACTTATACCGGGTAAGATATGAGCACACCTAGACGTAGTCAACGCATCCAGGAAAAGCGACAGGATTAAAGATAACAGTCCGGTAACTAAACGTGAACATCTGTGTAAAGTCCGTGGGTATAAACGGAACTTAAACGGTACCGGCAGCAAGATTACACCAGCGGCGAGAAAATATTTCTTATTCAGTCGATGTTGCGATAGCAGTCGCTGCATCTCGGCATTCTATCTACTTCATTAATTCTTTTTTCTAATTAGCTAAATGATTAATTTTTAACGGATTTGAACAATTGAGATTCCGCGTATGAACAGTAAGAGAACGCGTGAAACAAACATTATATCTATCGGTAAAACGCTTTGTAAATCCTAAACTGCAATTATACTTATAATATCTCTTAATTAATTAAAAATTAATTTGTTTATATATTTTTAATACTTTCTTAATTATTTAAAAGTCGTCGGAATTGATTTTTGATATGAAAATTGGTATAAAAATGTTATTCATTTCTTTATGTAATCAGAAATATTTACATGCGATACGCCAATACGATTGGAATGCGAGGCTTAATTAAGGTCAATATATGGATTCGCTTTGCGCATCCCAATTAGTAACCAACGCGCGATAAGATTTCTCAGTTTAATTGAAAGCATTACTAACGTGGAATTGCTTGTTGGCTTCGGCTTGCACTAGGTACGTAAAGCATCCCACCATTGAAAGAATACAACATCGGCATTAAAGTATGCGTAAACGCTGGCACCGACCTACCCGAAATTATTTTTCGCTTACGAATCACGAAACTTACGGGGATGGGAACAGTCCCCGCGCTCCCATCCCATGAATGTAAAGTTACCGAGAGAACAGTCTGGAGCTGACCATTAAAACTTGTTCGAGTCAATTCCCACTTTCATTTTGTATTTCATACGACATGTAATTCGCTCGACCGTATTGCCGTTTGATTTGTTGAATAATTCGCGCTTACACACCGAAAGATCAGAAACGAGAAACGAGCGCGCGCGGATAATTGCGTGTATTAACATCCGATGCTTCCCATTTGCAGCCCATAACTTATTCAATCGACGACGCGGCGTGCGTAACACCTGATCCTGACGAGTATGCTAAACTTATCACCTCTTTGCTAAAGAGCTACATATGTATATATGGTATATATATTATATATCGACGCGCGGAAAAATGATTGCGGTATTCGCAATAACGTGGTCGATGTTTATTTTGAAAAACAGAACAGGAAAGTGTGATAAAATTTCCTGCGACTATCGTGTTTCACTGGTTTCGAATATATTATCTGATCCTTAATACATTGCTAATTGCTTTAAGAGTACTGTGATAACATAATTTCAAGAATATCCCAGCTTATTCTCGGCTGATCTTGGAATAACTTAATATGTTCTGATTTATCTGATTTTTATTTCTGATTAATATGTTTCTGATTTATTAAGTAAATGTGCAACAAAAATATAAATATGCAATATAAATATTAAAAATTGTTTTGCAATGGTTTTTACTTCTCGTACAAATTGTTAGGTAATTATTTCATAATGTAAATGCGGAGAAATGCACAAGGCCGAGTTAAAATATAATTTGAGCAAAGTGCAGCTTGCAAGTTTAACACAACAGGCCTTGCGATGTGTTAAAATAATACTAATTTAAACATAATTTATTTTTTGCAATTAAAAGATTGTAAGTTTATTATTATATATTTGAGATGTAAAAGAAAAAGTAAACAATTTTTTAATACAATTATTTCAATAAATTGATGTGTGTGTGTGTGAATAAATCAACAACTGTAAAAATATAATAAATGAGTTTACTTACCGATCGACGCGCCGGCGCTGCATATTTTACTCTTTCCTTTTTCTAGTAACCGTTTTGCTCTTTCACTTGTCGTGGATACACCTTGATCTGTAAAATAATATCGATTTCATTAATTTATTATTACTTTACTCACGTTTCATGAAACTGAACCTATCAAAATCGACATCGAAAAACGCGTTACTTGCAATTGTGTTACTCTCGGATTACTAAAAACACTGAAACAATTGGCCGTCATTTAATTCAACACCCGACACCCGTTCGTACATGAAATTCATTCAAGTTGGATAAAAAAGACAGGAAAATGCAGAGTGATCGCGATGCGGCTACAACATCGAGGCACTCGATGTGAACGAACTGTCTGTTAACTAAACTCACGATGCGATCTTTATACGCCGAATTTTATGTTATTAAGGGATAATATTTTAGCAATCTTAAGCTGTTTCCGTTAAATCTACTGCAGCAATTTTTTTATGCTTTTATCCTTGTTTCCTCAATATTTCTGATGTTAAATCAAACTCACGATGTTTGTGAGGCGAACAAATAAGCGAAATATATACAAAAGATATATATCGGAAAGTAGAGTCTTGCGACATAATGCACGAAGCCATAATATAAACTCCGATTTTAAATGTCTGAAAAATACTCTGAACACGATATTGATACCTATCGCTAAATTCGGTATTTTCGATATTCGTTTTGACACAAAATTTACTTTTGACGTGTTCAAAAACGCGAGAAATACAGAGTGACGTAGTTCGACGCTCACGTACACTAATATGATATGACTGACATGAGAGCAAAATTTTGGAAATAATGAAGGAATGCGTCATCATCTTGATCGCGTCCTTTTTCTGGGATGGAACGAACTAGACACAAAGCCCTTGCCGTGACACAAACAATGGAACGATAACTCATGATCTCTTAAACAGGATAAGACGTGATCTTTGACCGCAGATATATACAATATACTTTATACTTATTATACTTTAATATCATATCTTTATACTTCCATTGGTTTTTTTATATATTTTATAATTAAATAAAAATTGATAATATATTCTTTAAACTATGAAACGCGTAAAAGTTTTTATTGAACCATGAAGCATTTCGCACAGTATATAATAATGTACGAAAAAACAGCAAAAAACATGTAAATTCAGCAATTATTTAAAATTTAAGTAACTATTCAGTAAACTATTTAGTAAACTATTTAGTTAAATATTTTAATCAAATTTTGTTATAATATATAAAAAGATGTATAAATATAAATGTTATTTTTGCCGAATATATTTATTGCGTTAAAAAACAAATTTTCATTTAATTGATAAATTTTTCCATTTATATTAGAATTACAAAATGTTAAACTTAACAAAATATAATACTAATTAATTTCTTTAATTCTCGGCGAGAAATTTGCATATGAGAGCACTGACTGTGCGGTATAATTGCAGATTCCACCAACATCCATATCGTCAAAAGCATGAACGAACATGTCCGATTCTGGATAAGTAGTGCACCGTGCGTGTGCATATAAATAAGATTCTTGGAAACGAACGAATCAGAAGGGGAAGGAAAAGAAAAAGAAGCCCCGCGCGATTCCGGTCTCGTTCGATCGCGTTCTCATCCTCGCATAGGAAGAAGCGCGCGCGCTCGTTCCCGCAGTACACGATCAGTTTCGTCGTGTGACTTCTGGTCGAGCGGCCAGCGAGACGAGGAGAGGAAGAGAGGACGGGAAGAACGCCCGCCACGAGTGAATTTGCATTAAGGTCGGTGCACAGAACTTCCTCGTCGTGCCGGCGGCGGGATACTTTTCCGCGTTGCTACGTTTTTCCCCGCGGGCGATCACGCCTCTGGTGCGCGATTTCCGCGCGAGAACTTGCCTCGCAACAACGATGTCCAGCCACCAATTATTGCCGTTGCGAAAGAGACTGAAAGCATATCTGCGATCCTCGCCGGAATCCTAATCGTCGCCTCTTAGCGTACGCTTTGATGTGACGAACCACGTTTCTCCCAGGGGCGATCTTTCACACGAATTACATTTCCCCCTTAAAATACGATTGGGAGAAGAAATTTTGTTTATAAATATTTTAAATTCCTATTACAGGTGACACTTCTATTGCGCAATGTAATGGCTGACAACATTGACAGCATTAATTGTCGATATGTTGTAGTAGAAAGAAATATTTTACTAGAATTTTCCCAAGATATATGTATAAAATATTGTTACAGTTGTTAGTTATAAATCTTATAATTTATATAAACGATGCGTGAGCATTCTTTACTGAAAATTGCACGACAATTACTCACTAATTAGTCGTTTCTTTTTAAATCTACTAATTAGCTAGCATAACATAATATTTGTCATTCTATTACATACTATTTCATCCACGTGAATAATAACGTCACAGAAAATATTTGCAAGCAAGCAGAGAAAATATTGGTGCGAAAAAATAATACTTAAATATACGAGAAGTTGATGGCATAAACTTGCGTACTTAAATAATTTTTTAACAGATTATATATGTAGATTGCTGTATTAAAAAAGTAATAAATTTTGTGTTCCAAAAAATATACATATAGATGCGCGGATAATATTAATTTAAAAGTAGGTAGTCATCTAACTGTATCAACGTTTCATACAGGTATCCCTGTTTTTATGTATCTTTTTCAGAATTTTTTTTAATTGGAAATGAAAAAAATTCTACGTTTTTCTACACGCCAGTATTAAGTTTTAACGTATTTTTAATCATTACGCGTGTAGTATCAAAAATCAGAAAATTGCTTCAATATCGTTACGGAGATTTAATTGGAAACGAAATTTAATTTGCCATCTAGTATACAAAATGTTTGTATCTCATCATTTTCTGACTACTTAAAACTTCAGATAAACAGTCGTTTTGTCGAGTGTACGAAACTCCTACTCGGAAATACAAACACTTAGAACATTATCCTCTTCATAACTAATTTATTAAAGTCTATTAGAGCATTATGTCTATTACAGCCGCCTGAAATCGCCTCGGTAGCGGTGTTTGCGCATTCTCCTCGCGCTCTCCTCGCGCTCTCCTCGCGCTCTCTTCGCGCGCTTCCGATCGGAAAGTAAAACCATTCTAAAATCACGGCGTGTACCATCATCGCGTGCACCAATTTCATCGCGCCGCAGCAGCTGCAGCCACCTGCAGCGGGAGAAGCGGCCCTGAAAACGCAACGACCTCGAACTCGCGCGGTCCTACGAATCCTCAAGGGCGTTCGCCGCATCCTCTCGCGCGCGAGTACGCGCGTACGTGTACGTGCCCGATAAGAGGATCATTCCGGGTAACGTCGTATAACCGGCAGGTAATGTAGCATACGGACATGGTCGCGCACCGTGCGAGCGCTCGCTCGCTCGCTGACGGAGCGAGACGGAGCGACGACGATCGCGCTGAAGCCGAGCGAAATGGCAGAGACGAGCGATGCGCTAACGGCGGGTGGGGAAGGGGGGCCTCCGCTACTACCAACGACTAGTTACACGTATGAAATAATCTATTATCTGGATGGGGAGTTATCTGGTGCGGGCATTGAATCGCCAAGGCCGTGCAGGAGCGGCGACGCCGGCGGAAGGAGAAGGATCGGGCGACGGGGGAGTGGCGGGTGCGTAAGAGACGGAACGAGATACACGTAGCGTTAAGGTGGAAGTAGAGAAAGAGAGAGAGAGAGAGAGAGAGAGAGAGAGAGAAGAAGAGAGAGA